TTTTTTTCCAAATTTGAAAGAGACTTATAAACCTGCTTGATGCTTCCATGGGTCCTTAGCAAATTGGTATATGATGCAAAGTCCTATCTTTTGAATGGATTTCAACATAAAAGTCCCAAAATGGCAGTTTCTTGATGGTCGCACCACATGATATTTCATAAAATGGAAATCATCTGACAAAGTTTGTTTGTATATTATGATGGAAATATAAATACAAATGCTTTGCAATTTTACACAGGATTACAAAACACTTTGGAAATCATGCCAAATAGTGCATAAAATTATAATTTTTTTATAACAAATGTTAATTTTTATTAATTTAGGGTAATTTCAAAGATGTTTACAAAAAAAAAGTTATGGCCGGACGGTCGCACCACATGATATTTTGACACTTTGAATAACAGAAAAATTACAAATAGCTAATGTTTTTTGAAAAGTTAAAGTGAGTTCATACATGGGAGAGGTCCTTCATATATATGGCATCTTTTTTAGGCATTTAATCCAATTTTTAACTGAAAAAAATGCAATCGGACAGAAAATGTAGGCGTCACTTCATTGACCCATATATATAATTATATATATATACATTTTCAGATATTAATATTAATATGTATTGTTGCATATACATGAAAATAATATATAATATACCATTCGAATGTTGGGGGTTGGTAAGATTTTTAAATGTTTTTGAAAGCATTTATTTGATCAGAAATACAGTATTATATTATCAATGTTGAAAATAGTTCAATATTAATTTTTTTGTGGAAAACTTTTTTTAGCAAGTTCAAAAGAACAATTCATTTGAAATAAAAATCTTTTGTAAGATTAGAAATGTTTTTATTGTCAATTTTAATCAATTGAATGAATAAAAATTTGTTCTAAAATATTAAATAAACAAAAACAGTAAAGAAAAAACTAAATAAAATCTTTCATTATTTAAAAAAAAAATAGAGATTTAGTTAAGGTCAATACCTAAAACGTGAAACAAATCTGCCATTTTAATACATTTGATTCATAAACCACATTAAAGACACATTCTCTGACAATGTCTAATGGGAATTTTGCTTCACAGGTAAATTTAATTTGTTTTAAGGAGGTTTAGATGAGGGCACTGGAAAGCAAGACAAATATGGCATTTATCATGCATTTAGCAAAGATTTTATATTAATGGATGATTTGTCTGCATTGATTTCTGATTCAAAGGTGAGCTTGTGATTGTTTGTTATTTGTTCAGAGTTGCAGCTGTCTGTTCCCAACACCCCAGCATCAGCGATATCTGACTGATTTTAATGCTTCCTTTCTGCCACATGGTCTGTCGTCACGACGACACAGCGTGACTGAAAAGCAGAAAACCCATTTGCTCCAACCGCTTTAATCAAACACACTCATTCATTATTCAGAGCGCGTGAGAGGGTGCAGGGGGCAAGCCAGAGTGTGTGTGTGTGTGTGTGTGGACTATTGGAGTTTGAGTCAGTGCACATTCAAATAATACAAGCAAAACAAGATGTTTTGAACATATAAATATGTCAATCCGATTGCTAAACTATAGATGACAAATAGTTATCATACGAAAAAAAACTTTCATGAAAATAGGTCTCAGCTGGAGGCCGAAGAAAAGCCAAATGCACACAAACACACACACAAACAAGTGAAGAAAATCCCTAAGACTTTAGAAACTCACAGAGAGAGGTGAGAGAATGAGAACGAAAGAATGAATTGGTTTCCTAGGTGGAAACTGGGAAAGTAATCTGGACGCAGGTCAGTCGGGACGGATCTAACTGCCAGCTCTCTATGGGTGCAGAAGAACAAACTAAACAGCGCAACATACACACACACACTTCTGTGATTCTCTTTGCTTTATACACACAGCAAAATTCAAAGGGACAGAGGCAATCAAATCCATCCAGTCAGAAGCCATTAAATCAGAAAATATACTGTACTGAACAAGACAAGCCACATGCAGACACAGAGAGAGAACATTGACTGATATAATAACCTGTTTTAATGGCTCTAATCCAAAACCTAGTGAGCAGCCTACGCAAACAGGATTTTAAGGTATCAGAGGTGCACTCTTGACGCGTCGGCTATTTAAAAAGGTAGGCAGCATGATGATTATGCTGCCTTCTAAAACCTTTGGCCAAATTCTATGGCAGCATTGCATCTAGACTTCATGGAGAATGCAGTCCATAAATGCACTGCGACAACTTTTGAAAAACAACGTTATAAACAAGCAAAATACAACTTACTCTAGTGCACAAAAGTATCATTGGGCAGTGTGTATGGAACCAAACTGAACAACTAGTTGTTAATGACATATTTAAGTGCGCATCAGAGACGTGTCTCTCTTCTCTAGCCCAGGGAAATCCCAGTATCTTCCCAGTATGTCTTGACTTATTTGTGTTGCTTGACCTTGAAAAAAAAAAAACATGATAAACTAAAATCCAAATGCTTTATCTTGGAAAAAAGCCACATACCAAAATATCACAACCTGCATCTGCCTACTTTATTAACTCCAATAAACTGGATTGATTCATGAGCCAAAACCAAACAACAAGCCCAAACACGTATATTTAATAAGCGTGCTTATAATAAGTGGACATGGCAACACTTCAAGAGTGTGCTTTGACTTTGAATATGAAATGTATTTGTGCATTTTTAAAAGTATTAAAAAGTATTAAATTATGTACTAAATTATGAGCATATTTAAAATAAGTACAAATTAATAATACATTTTAAAAACTGCATTTTAAGAACTAAATATAGCGCCAAAACATACAAACAATAATAAAGTATTAAAGGGGCAGTGAGGGAGTTTTCACATCAGAATTTTCTTTTTCAAACTTCAGAATTGATTCTGAGCTTAGAGTTTTTTTCACATATGTGAGATGGCAGTCGAATTTTGTTTGTGTGTTTATAGCATAGTTGAAAAGACAATTGCATTGGATTGGTGAATCTATTTTTTCAAAAGTGAAATCACTGAAATCAGCAGTGAAGAGCACTATGACACAAAAAGTTACTACCATTTGTAAACCACTTCAAATATGTTTGGGATTTGGAACATAATGTGCACATTTGTACATTTGTAAAATCATCAGTGTTAGATTTAGACAGAGCGAGTGACTGAGGATGTAGAAACTTGTGTAGGATGTTCTGTCAGGTCACCACTTGAGCTACACATGATATAAATGGGAAAGACTGCCCTAAAGGCCTAGATGTCCTTTAATATTAACAGCAGTTTTGCAAACTTACTCAAATAAAGTGACTCCTTTACAGAGGTAGAACTACATTAGAATGCCAGCAACAGCACAACACAAACACTCCATTCACAAAGGGCCTGACAAAAACACAGAGGGAGTTGGATCTTAAAGTCAGATTTTCTCTCCACCAAGATGTTTTAGGAGAAACAGACACCGAGGGAGAACACTGAAATATTCATTATGCATTATTATAATGAGATCAAATCTGCTGACTCTGACTCTGTCTGGCACCAGTTTAAAGTACAGAGGCAGTTGTGGTTGTAACAGTAAGAGTTAATGGATTGAATTTATGTGATGAATATGAAAGAGGTGAGGTTATGACTGTGAGTTTTGGTGCAGACCCACAGGAATTATTTATACAATGAGCATCAGTACTGAAGACAATAAGAAATAAAGCAATTATAGTTCAGTTTTGTGAATTAGTGTTTCAGAGTAATATCAGCTTTAACAAATCACCTTCTAAAGATAAAATATTGATTATAGCACCAGTGTGAATCTCACAAAACCTGTCAAGAACATGCCAGATTGTATTTCAGCCCAAAATCGACAATTTTATAGAATTAGCATTACATATTTCGTGAATATAATATTAAGTCTGTTTTAAGATGATAAAGATTTTTTTGCATTGTGACATTTTCATAACTAATGTTTCATACTTCAAAATTTATTTCAAAACTAATTATTTGTAATGAAGCATAATTTCCACATAATCCTCATTAACATAATGCAAGAAACAAAATTAATTGGTATAATGTAAACAAATGATAGATTCAGATAGTACAGTATTTATTTATCATGCCAGTTTGCTGTACTTTAATTTATGCTGATTTAAATACAAAATTCATTGTTATTACAGTAAAGAGAATCTAATGAGAATCACAAATGTGAGTAACGAGAATTACAAAAAAAACTCATTACGATAATGAGGATTTGGGGGATGTGCTAAATTGCACACTATAAATAACGTAAAAATGCAAGAAATCTTTAGGATCCTAAATAGGCTTCATTTTATTAATATAAAATACAGTTTATTTTTTATTTCAGGTTGGAATGTGACCTTGTTCATATGACATGGCATAATATTAGTAAATGCATTAGGGCATTATGGCTTCAAATTCAAAACAATCACAAATTGCAAAAACTGCCACTACAGGACCAGTCAAATGAGAACAAGCAAATAGTGATGTTTATCAGTATTAAGACAACATGTAATATATGGAATCCTGACACAAAGAGAGAGAGAGAGAGAGAGAGAGAGAGAGGCAGATGCCATGATCGATAGAGTGGTCAGGTCTTTCCCAATCCTTCAGCATAAATCATCAGCCATTATGGTCATGCAGTCCATCAGCAGAAACATAAAACCCTTTGCAAATAGATCTGATGGGCATTAGCCATACCTCACACACTTCAGAAACACACACACACTGCATTTTTCCAGTGCTTTTCCGAACTCAAAGAGCTACATGACATCCTGGAAGCAGATACTCACTGGTTCAGTTCCACGTCTAAAATGAAGGTCTGTCCGAAGGCCTGCACCTGGAAGCTAGCCTGTGCCATGTGGTTCTGTAAAAGAGACAAAACAAGATGATACCTGGTCATTCTCATCTCTTACGATGCCACACATGATCTGAGACAATAAAAACGGTCAAATTAGAACATATTTGGTGTTTTGGGAGAGAGAAATATAACTAGATATTGTTTTTATGCCAAACTCCAGTCCTCAGTAGGATTATTCACATTCACCAATTTTTGTCAATCCGAGTGAATTCAATTTAATTTCAGATTCTGAAAGTTTTGTTCATATGAGCCCTAAACTTTGCAATCTGATTCACATTTTTGTTTACATGTGCATTTACTTCAAGTGTGTTTACATGCAATGTGTTTTTTTCCCTATTGATCGGATTCCTTCAGGTCAGCACCACCCTTTCATTCCGATATAAATTTAATTCTCATTGAGGTGTTAACATGAAGGCTTTTCAATCTGATTGAGCATCAATTTGATTACTAATGGATTATTTGGGTGCATACAAAAGTAGCTAGCATCACATGATCCCTCAGAACTAATTCTAATATTCTGATTTTGGCTTAAGAAACATTTCTTATTATTAATGTTGAAAACCGCTGTGATGCGTAATAACCTCAGGATTCAGGATTCTTTGAAGTAGAAAATGTAAAATTGTACTACCACTTTTTTAATGGTTTAATGTATTCTTGTTAATCAAAAGATGGGTGTGTGTGTGTGTGTGTGTGTTCGCTGATGGTTAATTCACTGCCTGCTTGGGGCCCATATGGCCAGGGCCGTATAACACCCCCTCAGGGGAAAGAGAAGCTTTTGGTGTTGCAGCACATTGTTCTCGTAGCTTGTGAGTGGATGTGTGTGTGTGTGTGTGTGTGAGGGGGGCAGACAGGGTAGAAATAGAAGCATATGAGGGAGGTGAGGGGAGTCTAAAACCCCCCAGGGAACACACCTCTCCCAAAACCAGCAAAGCCTAGTTATCAATAAAAATGGAAGGAGAACGAAGGGGTGGAAGAAATACAGAGGGGGAGATTCTCTACACTTCACCCACCAGTGACCCCCTGAATGAAGCTACCCTCCCCGAGACACACCCACATCCATCTACTGCCCCTCGAATGAGTGTGAATTTGAGTGTCATGTCTAAACAAGAGGCACAATAACACACAAATCTAATAAAGAGATTCAGAGTGTTTTCTAGAAACTGTGTAAGATGAGAGGGCTGCAGCTTTCTGCCTATTACGTCTTTGGTATCATCGATTGCCGTTTCATCATATTAGCGTTTTAAACTGTTCAACTTTATTTTTTTCTGATCTACACTTTGTGTTAAATAAAGAAGATCCAAAATTAGCAAGCTTCTCTTTGTTTGTTTTTTCAGGCATCAGTGAACATCTATAAATAAATATAGTCTTCAATCTTCAAAAAGATCCAATTGTAAGCCAAAACGTGGAGCTAAAAACAGACCTGAGTGTAGTTGAATGTATTTATGAAAAAATATATTTCACTGGCATATGCTTCTAATCCAATCTCTAATGTAGTATGATATATAACACCACAACGATTAAATCAATACTATGCATTGGCATGATGAAAAAGCCTTCGCCTCAATTATACAGAGCTCAGCTGCAGACGTCAGACAAAGGGTTAAGCCGCACACGTGCACACACAGCCCGAAGCACAAAACAGCGACGTTAGGACACATGTACAGACATTCTAACCGGTCAAAGAGACTCGTTACAGTAACGAGGCCACAAGCGATTGCATATCTGTGCCTTTGAGAATTATTCAGTCAGGCAAAGTATGAGCAACAAAGTACCTGAGCAGTCAGGATGGACAAAATGCTTAGACAATTGAGCTTTCACTCACAAATCATTCTAATCAGCATATTAACATGATGTCTGAAGAATCATATAACACTGTGATAGAGTAATGGCTGCTTAAAATTCAACTTTGCAGTTGCAGGAATATACGTTATTTTATTCAAATAGAAAACAGTTATTTTAAATTGAAATAATGCTTCAAAATATTACAGTTTTTACTGTATTTTTGTATTTTTCAACCTTGGTGAAAAACATTCTAAAAATCTTAATTATTCCATACTTTTTACCAGTTATATATATCAATTTTACTTTCAAACATTAAATACAGCTAATTTGTGAGTTAATGTGGTATCAGCTCACTCAGAGTGTCTTTATTCACTATCTTTCAAGCCAGGCAAAGCAAGAACAAAAGAAATGGCATGTCCATAAACCTCTAACAGCATTACACGCTCAACCGAGAAACCAAATACGACGTACATTTGACAGTTTTTTCTTTTTATCATCATGGCCCAGGTTTTGAGTCTCTGATTCAATGTTTTGCTGAATAATGGATTGGAGTTACATCATTAATCAGTCTCTGATATTTCTGTGGTATAAAATAATGTAAAAAACAATAATGCAATATTTATTTAGGCTGATAAATCTCCAACACATGAGCTGCTCATTTGTTCTTTCTGTGTCCTTTGTGTTTCCAAAGCTGAGATGCCTCAGGAGGCCTAAGCAGCACCAACATCTTCCGGTAAAATGTACTGTTTTGGTTCATTATATCACCCTTAAATTACTGGAATTAACTTCACAGCACTCTCAGACCACCCAGTGCCTGACTATAAGACTCGGAAGGAGAGTAAAAGAGAAAAACATAAACATCTTTCCAAGAGCAGCGCGTCTCTAATGGCAACGGGAGGAGACAGCATCCTTGTGACACCCAGATGACATCCAAACATGAGATGAAAAATACACACCTGTTTACTGTCAGAGCTCAATCGAAGCCGTGTGTTGAGAACATTATGAGCGGCCTGACTGTCTCCGTCCACTCGGTACACCAAGCGGACCGGTACCGTGTTCTCTCTCCCGAGGAACCTGGCGTCATCACGCCGAGCCCTCGTCTTTACCAAGGCGTCTCCTATGAATAATAAAAACACGGGAGCATGTTTTTAACACCTATATATTTTTCTCTCGATTTATGTATGAAATTGGACATAATATTCTGTTTAGATACGATAAATAATGATAAATCACGGCTCAGGGTCGGCTATTTACCGTTACATACATATTAGTTGTTTACATCACCTGAAATGAATGCAGTGGGCGTAAAATACGACACTAATATGGTAAAAAATACGCCATAATTGTTTTTTTTTTTTAATGAAATATATAAAAATACCCCCTCACCGTAATGAGGCAGGGAGAAGCTGGTATGTATCACAGAGCTCATCACCGCTACAAAGAGGCACAGAAAGGAACTCCCGACACGGAGAGGCATCATTCCCGCATCCATTCGGTTCAGAAAATCGCGGTTAATCATATATATCCCAAATTACACGACACACGCGTTAAATCCCAAATTAAACCCGATTTTCCGTCTCCCTCAGGAAGGCGCGCACGTACTCTCGCGCGCTGGTGACGCGCGAGCAGCCTCTGCATCGAGACGCGGCTTGCGCAAGCGGCGGGCGCGTTCTGGAAAAATAAAATCAGGACCTTTTTTCTTCACCGAGCAGAAGCCACCACCTCCTCCTCAGCAAGACATCAATAATATCCAGCCGCCTCACTGCAGAAACGCCTCATAAATATACATGAGCGAGCTGCACGCGGGATGATGGGTAGTGTAGTGTGCGTGTAGACCTGCTGTCACCTTCTGCGCCAGAACTGATGCATTATGGAGCATTAGAACAGTGAAACACAATGTATTAAATAGTACTAGTACTAAATAATAATGCGTAATGTTACGCCCTTGTAGTATGAAATCATGCATATCATTAGTACACCAGGCAATATTATATACTAATAATATTATAATGCCCAGAATAACCAGAAAAAAGAAAACCATTAAACAAAAACATAAAATAATGTAACAAAATAAAAGTAACAAAATAAACAAAAAGCTGTGGAAGCCATTCAAAACAAATCCCAGGTTTACCCTGTAAATAAATACGTTGTGTTTAATAAACACATTTTTCATTAGCCCATTAGGCCACTTAAAGTAGAGCTTCAATTTGATTAAATAACACAGAATTTCCATTTAACATATTTATGCTACATACAGAAGTGGTTAATTGGACTATACCATTCAAAAGTTTGTGGTTGGTAAAAATGTAAGCTTTTGAAAGAAGTTTCTTATGCTCACCAAGGCTGCATTTACTTAAAAGTAATATTGTGTTTATATTTTAATATTTATAAATAGCTGTGAATTTGAAATGTAATTCACTGTTGTGATAGCAAAGCTGAATGTTCAGCAGCCATTACTCCATTCTTCACTTCAGTGTCACTGTTACAACCACCTGGCTCTGAGTGAAGGAACATTACCAAAAGGGGAGGCCACACAGAAGACTAAGTTTAACAAATAAACATTTAATCAAGAATAAATCAAATAATACAAAAATTAAGTATAAAGAAAGAAAGAAACGAAAAGAAAACAATCCAGGGCTGGAGAGGGAAGATGAACGGCGGCCCAGTCCAGAACACACACTGCTCTCTGAATCTTTTAAACCCAAACGCCAATCACAGGTAACACTCCACACCTGTACCTGACGCTCGCTCTGAAAGAGAGGCAAAACCACGGAACACCACCACCTAGTGGACAAATATTAAAAAGAGAACACTGGCTGTAACAGTCACATAATCCTCCAGAGCTCGTCATAATATGCTGATTTGGTGCACAAGAAACAAATCTTATGAAAGTTAAAAACAGTTTTTGTGATTTTTGAAATTAGGATTTGATGAAGTGTTTATAGTTAAAAGGACAGCATTTATTTCATACATAATTTAAAATGTAATCTTAATCTATAAATCTTTCGTTATGTTTGATCTATTTAATGCATCCTTGATGAATACATGTATCAACTTCTTTTAAACATTTGAACACTAGTGTATACAGAATGTTAATTGAACTTAAGTCTTGAAACACTTAAGATAGTTGAAAGAGTTTTCTCATACATGTGTTATGAATACACCACCCCCTAAGGCTCAGTTTATGTACTTATTACACATTATACACTAGACTAGAAGATTAGAAATCCATGGCAAATCGGAAGATTTCTAAAAAAAAAAATGCTTTTTTGCAAAACACTTGTGCTTACAACCATGGTGCACAAAAATACGAACAAATACTTAAACCATTGTAAAAAATATTTGCAATTTAATACAGGAACCAGAAAATTTCAAGACAATCTCTTGCTGTTATATCATTCAATTACATCAACTCCATAAATTTACATAAATGCATATCCACTCATTTTTTCCAGTATATAGTCAGTAGGTATATTTTCAGTCTAGAAGTTTTCTTTTAAAGCCTGTATGGTGAAAATGCAGTTTTCCATCGTACTAATTAAAGACAACAGACTTATTAATATATATTATTTGGCATAGTAACAACTTTTACAACACATACATGTGTTCAATTCCTCTTACTCATGTCAAAAACCCTTAAAGTCTTTATCCATGTTGTCACTGGACTGAAAGAGCTGCCACAGGTCCAGGAGAGAAGCAGGTGGGTTCTCACACTCCTGTACAGGTTTAACAGGTGAAAGAGAGCTCAATGATTCTCTCTCTTTACTGGATTCGATGTGCAAGGCCGGTGCTTGCTTTCTTCTTCTGGATCTGACACTTCGAACCTTCCGTTGCAGTGAATTAGTGGGGCTGTCAAGGTCCGGTTCGGGTTCTTTGCAGGCTAAAGGCCAAAGAGCGGAGTTTCCGACTTGATTTTCTGGCATACTTTGCGAATAAACTTCACAGCAGTTAGTCCTAAAGCATTCAATTCCTGTTAACGATTCTATGTCTCTTTCACTGAACTGTTGAGCTGTGTGCATGTCAGGGTTTGTCCTGGTTTGTTGATCTGTCCTGCATTCAAGTGCATTAGAGTCACAGTTCAGCTCTCTGCCGAGAAGAGATGCAGCTTCAGATTTCCGCGAGTGGAATTCCCACTCAAAGGATCCACGCTTAGACTGGGACTTCTCCGGAATGTCGGATTGGTTGAACAAGCTATCCCTGTTGCTCTGAGGGAATTCACACTGGCCCCTGCTGCGTTTGCGAACTGACAGAGGTTTTTCTCTGGTCTGTTCCGAGAGAGGTAGCTTTGCTGTAGAGCTCCAAAGCAAAGACCCCTCGCTTTCCTGTATCCAACCACCATTCACAGATCCCACATCTTCCTTTACTGGCAACATGGCTCCAGCACACAGAACAGGAGTTGATGTACTGCATTTCGCCCTATGGCAGAGAGACATTGACACAGCGCTGTCATAAGGCCAGTAAAAACAGTAAACAATAAGGAAAAATATAATTTTTAATGACACGTTTGTACCTTCTGCAGTGCGTGCCAATGTTAATAAGGTCGCAGGTCAGTCCCGCAGTGACTCGATCGACAACTCTGTACACATCACTCTTAGAGAAAGCCTGATGCTGCTTGCTCTCCAGGTGCTGGTGGTCAGAAGGTCAGAAAAGGTGAGCACAGATGTCATGCATTTCATGCAAATCCTGGTTCAGGCCAAAATTTATAATTATTGTGTCTTTTTTTTTTTTTGACGAGAAACAGCAAATGCAAAGTGTTCATATAAACTTGACTGGCTTTCTATCATTTTCAATACGTACCACCTTTAGGTTGTCGAATTTGACCTCACAGCACTCACAGTACCCTCCTTTCCTCTTTTCTCTCCCTTCATGTCCTCTGCGCCTCTCTTTCTTTCCTTGAGCTCCTCGTTCCCCTCCAGACCTGTGGCAAAACACAGATTCTCATTCACAACACAGAAAAACTCAAAAATGACTGCATTACAAAAAGATACTACTGATTCTGATTTTACCTTTGCTCTTTGTGTCTCTTCTTTGGATCATCCTTTCCACGTTCATCCATCAGGAATGGACTGCAGGGTGGAAGAGACCGGACGTTGCACACAGGCATGTTGGACAGGGGAAGGTAGATAGGACGATAATGTCTGCAAAAACATCACATTATTAAACCAGACAAGTAACATGAAAGTTAAAACACAAGAAAATCAACAAAGAAAACACACCTGCTTGAGTCTTCTACTTTCACAAATGGTCGACGAATTCTTCCAGCTGGAAATATAAAACATTTAAACAAAATGAATTAAAGATGGCTATAATATCATCAATTAACATTTTTCAACTGGAAGATGCAACAAATAAAAAAGGTTCTTCACTATCTACTTACCATTGTGTCTGTGATATAGATTTTTCTCTGTGTGCTGAATGCTGGCCTAAAAATAAAGAGTGATAAACTGAATATATACAGAAACAACAGAATTATATTCAGCCCTGCACAGAATCTTCTGCAGCTCCACAGATTTCTCTTTAGGACAGTAAAAGACAAACTTTATAGTTGTTTACTAAGTCCAATATTTAGAAAAGTGGTTGAACAATATGGTTTATCAATGGTTCATTTTTAAATTTTTACATTTGTGCTACAAGCATAAAACTACTCACAGCTCCTTTCACCACTGGATTAGCTGAATTCACAGCAATGATTTTTGATTTCCTCTTGTCAACATATGAAATAACATCTGTTTGGAAGGCAAGCATAAAAGACCATGTAATACTGAAACCACATCTCACTTCTTTAACAATGCAAGTATTAATAATGATGACAAAAGTAATACCGTCAACATGTAGGACTTTGACCCCCCATTCCACAGCATTTGCCAAGATCCCATTCATCTGAACACGTTCCTAAAACAGAGCAGAAAACCACAGTACTGATAAACTACTCAAGACTGCTGCACACAGTTGATTCACAAACAAACAAGGCATGATAAGGATTGACTAACTTGTTCTTTAACGACTCTCTCCACAAGCGATTTGCCTCGACTTACAGCTGTCTGTGAAATTCCAGCACAAGACATGTCAGTGTTTTTCCTCGAAAACATTCAAACATTTTGGATTAGTAAGGCTTTTAAGAAATTAATACTTTTATTCAGCAAGGATAAATTAAATTGACCAAAAATGACAGTAAAGATATTATCATTGTTAAAAAAATAATTTTGAACATTCTATTCATCATAACCATAAAAAAAAAAACATACAACAAATAGGTTTACAAAGGGGTGGAAAATTTCCAGTAAATTTCTGGAAATGTTCCACCCTTTTGCAACCCTAAAAACAAATATGGTTTTCCAAGAACACAAGAACATATTAACTCTGACTTGATATTGAAAAAACAATGCTGAATATCACAAATCAAAATATATCATATTAATAAGCAATTATAAAACAATTCCAGTCCTTGAGTAGGATTGGTTGAGCCGTGTTCAAAGACATTGTAAATTATTCTAGAAATATACACCTGTGACATTACATCAGTATTACTGGACCAGTGTGTTTGCGTGTTGCTGTTAGGCACTCCACTTTAAAATTTAATTGAGCATAAAAATAAGAATATTATTAACTGCATAAATTCACAATGACATTTTGAAGACTTTAAACATTTAATATAATTTAATTTTAACAATTTTAAAATGCTTAGAGTTGTTGTTGTTTTTTGACTTAGGAAACCCAGAAAAAAGATCTATGGCAGTGAAG